TGTTGTCTTTTCTCATCAGAAATATCTGGTTTGCTAAACCACCTTTTCTGAACACAATTTTTAGTTGCCCTTTTGCTTCTTCGTTTTGGTTCTTAAAAAACGTGTTTGCAAAAATCTTCTAAAAGGGTACCTATGGCCTATTTGGTCAATTAATAATTTTCACATTTGTCGTTTAAACTAAAGCTTTGTGAGCTTGTTTCGAATAGAATGTTTTATGTTTTTTAATAAATTTTGGTAGCGTCGGTTTCAGTTTCAGACAAAATGGCAAAATTTTTCAGTATATTGTTGCTGTTGTTTGAACATTTGATTATTCTTGAACTGTATGTAATTTTTTATTTGCAGACTTCCAGATCTTTTACGTCTTAATAATTCTAATTTCTCGCAGCTTCAAATCGTTTTGTCGTCAAAAAATTTTTTTTGTTGCTTTATTTTTATTATTATTATTATTATTATTATTATTGTCCATGATTAGATACGCATTTGTCAAGTTTCAGCCCTCAATTTATTTCAAAAGTTATTTTTCAACTCAGTTTAAGCTTTTTGTATGAACAGCCATTGATTTACGGCTGATGCAAATTTATGTAAGCATATTTAGATTAGAGAACGCGCTAAAAGTGAGCTCTTTTGAGTCTGGTTGCTGCTAATTTCGCTCTAGCTTAACATAGTTTATCCAAATTAATAACAACATAGCAGCTTTCAATTCCAGTATTTCCTCATCTTATTATTAAAGATTTCAGTGATCATTTTGCTTTATTTTCCTTGTAACCAGAAATTTTTATGGTAGCAGAGCATAAGACAATAATTGGCCAACTCTGTTGATCCGCAGTCTTCCACAGTTTCTCATCGTTAATAATTTTATTAAAAAATGCACAAGCTTTTCATTTGGAGTTTCGCAATAGCTTCCCATTATAGAAAAAGTCGCGGAAAACGCATCAGATTTGCTGATATTTTCAAGTTGATAAAACCGATTTAATGTGGGAAATTTGGACCAACCTTAATCTTAAAATAAGCAAGGTGGCAATTAATCCGATTCGCCGAGCAAAAGTGTCATATTTAAACTTGCAAGTACATAACAGCTTATTTATATTTGCAAGTATCCATCAGTCACTTTTTATAGATTGGCTGGCTGCAAGCCAAGGCGATCAGTTCCGAAAAGGAAAATCCATGTAACTATTAATATTTATAGATTATCGGATTGTTGTTTGCAAACCAGGCCAGAACAATACATTGGCGTTTTTTTCGAACCCAATCACTATCCGAACATGATTAATCGCGAACAATGCTAATTGTTTGAATTGTTTATGAAATTACTTGGTTTCGCTGTTCTTGAAGTAGAAAAGCACACTGGGGCAATAACACATGCAGAAATTATAACTTGACTTGAATATTTTTAGATAACTATTTTTCTGAAGGAACAGGCTCCTTTCCAGGAAATATTTTGCGTGCCCATTTTGAATAAGATTTTTGTCCTCAAATTATTTTGCCCCTTGCTTCTGCATTTGAAAGGCATTTAGATTGTTCTGCAATGGTTTTTTTGTCGTCTTGACCGAAACATTCAGAATTTTTAAAAATTTCTCTTTACCTTTAGTTAGTGGATTGATTTACATCTCTGTTACACATCGCAATGTTTTGAATGTATAACCGTTTGTCAATAAAGTTTCAATGTTTTAATTAATATTATTTGTACTCATCCGACTCTGCTAGTGCTTTTTCAACCCTCGTTTAGACATCCCCGATTTGTACAATTATCTGTTGATGAGGGGTCAAATTCTTTAACATTTTATTTTGGCGAAGAAACAGTTTATATTTTGCCTCCAATTAAATGACCGACAATAAACTAAATTACTGCTAATATAATTTTTGGTGTTTCCTGCTGCAATATTAGCTCAAAGTTAATTAATTACGCTGCCATTATCAAAATGAAACTTCCGTGATGCGATTAATTTTGCGAGATAGTCCAAGAGGACTATAATAGGCTTTCGAAGATATCTCGAGCAGCAATGTCTCTTTTCATTGCATGTGAATAAAATCAAGGTTGAATCTGTCCTGTAAGGGCATCAATTATAAAGCAGCGTCACTTCTTGAATCGATTTTTAAAAGTGCAAACAAGGTCGCGTGGTAAATTGTAGAGCTCAGCTTAATCTATAACGAAACTCCATTTACATATAACATGAGAACATAGCCCCAATTTTATACAGTTTTTTTGGTTTGCGCTCCAATTTTGTTTTTTTTTCTATTGTCTACAGTAAAGCCTCTTGGCTGGCTTTGCTTTATCCATAGTGTGGAAAAATCGCAATATTGCTCTGTAATAGTGCAACTGGCTTATGCATGTTGGTGCTTCAAGTCTCGACTCTCTGAAAATTAATGTTAATAATGCGCTCTAATATTTGCAGTTCACTATAAAGGCAAAAGTGCAATACGCTGCTATTATGTAAATTTGGTATTTTTGGAATATTTTGTTGTGATGTCAAATTTCGAATTTTGCCATATTACTTTGACTAGATGAATAAATCTATCTCTAAATTTAAATTTGGAATGTTTGATATGAGCAGTTGCTTTAGCGGAAACACAGAATACTTTCTTGGTTAATTTAGAGATTTAAAGAAATTACGAACATATAAAACAGAGCACCAACTTCTTACTTCTTGCAGCTATTTTCAGCAATTATCCCTAATCTAGGCGGAAGTTACATAAAATTTATTAAATAGAAAGGCAATCTGCCAACAGTTTGTAAAAGTGTTATTTAGTATGTGTGGCAATAAATACAACCAAGTTCAAATCGAAAGTATGAATCAACTCAAACAGCGCAGTTTATTTGTTGCTCATTCTACCCTGCTGCAGTTGAGATATATACTCATGTGTTCTGCAGAAGATTCTTAATGAGTCTGCTCGGGTTTATTGTTGGTGTTAAAATTAGCTAGTAAATTCCTAGATGGTTTGCAGCGGATACAATAAAATGAACTGTTCCAGTTGAAATAAAATTGTGTATAATATTGCTTAAAATTAAAAGCGTTTGGTTGGCATAATGCAATTACTACGTTGGACGATTTATTAATCAGTTAAAGTTCTATTTAAAATATTTATCAAAACATTCAAATATCGAATGGAAAATGACTTGTTTGCACAATGGAAGCCTTATGCATAAGAATGGAGAAAAATTGAATGAGCTGATTACATTGGAAACTCACTAAATTTTCGATATTTTGTCATATTTCATAAGCTTTCGATTAAAATTTGTTCAATCAAACCATTAGATAGTTCTGATGCAGGCAATTACCGGTAAGCACTCTTGCTGATGTCAAACTGCCAGCCACCAGTTCAAAATCAATTTGCCGTAATCCCGAAATAGTACAGCAACTAGCTCCCAAGCAGCTCGATACTTATGAGTCTCTAAATAAAAGTCCAATTGGAAAAAGAGTTTCTTCGATTCAGGTAGTAATCCAGATTTTATATGGGTAATATTGTGCCTTTTCCTACCTATTTTCCGAATCTAATCCCAAATACTTACAAGTTAAAATTGCTTGTAAAGGTTTGGATAAATAGTTTGGACTTTTAGCGCATGTAGGATTTTCAAAGTTCAATCTAAACAATAGTTGTAATGGAAAGGTTAACTAACATTTTTCTATTAATGCTCGTTTTGATTTTCGAGACTTTGCAATTAAACAACATTTGAGTATAGCAAAACAACGAAAGTGCTGTTTCCACGAAAAATGTATTACATATCCAGTCGAAAGCCTAAAAATGAAAAACGCAATGTACCAATTAATTTTGTATTAATATTTGCGATTGTTCAATCTTATTTTACGATGCAAATGTGAACTAGTTATTTAAATTCATGCCACAGAAAAGCGATAAAACATGAAATATAATTATTAAATGCAAACTGCACAAAATAAATGCGGTTAATGCCGATTTTAGTAAAATAGTCAACGAGCGTAAAGAAAGTTTAAACAGGCTTCATGCAAATACTGGACGTTTGATGTGTCTCATTTTATTTTTTGCGCCACATTTAGCGCTTTGGTTTTACACAAATTTACGTCGAGAAATGAAGGATTTCATGAACTGCTTTAATTGTGCGAAAAAATGCGAAATTTTAAATGTAGTGGGATTCAAATTATCTAGGAAACCACTGGCTTCTGATAATCACTTGGAAGGTTTAGTGATAATCACAGCAGGGAACTTAGAAATTATAAGTTTTATATTATGCACCATAAGTTCCACGTTTATTTGCATTAAAAAGTTTAAAAAAATATTATACGAAACTGTAATAGTTTCGATAGACTTTATACAAATAGTGGACTTTTCATGCGTCTTATTTTGTTTTTGCGTCACATTTACGGCTTGCTTCTACACAAATTTAAGGCGATAAATGGAGAATTTTATGAACTTCTTTAATCGTGCGAGAAAATGCGAAATTTTAACTGTAGTGGGATCGAAATTATCTACGAAACCTTCCACTGGCTTCGAATAATCCGCTGAGAGGTTTAGTGAAAATAGCAATTAGTTCAGAGATAATTCCATTATAAAGTCTAGGTATAATATAATACTTCATAAATTCCCTTTATATGTTTCTAAAAGTAGATATATTATATTATATATTATAAAAAGAAAATATTTTACAAAAGCGTAGAGCTCTTTTGATTAAAACTGGTTATTAACCGTTTAAAAGGGGAGAGCAATCGGAAGTCCAAACAGCTGAACAAGTACATATAAAACATGCAACGTTTCGCTTGCATGTGGGGCAAACAATATGTAATGTCAATAAACTATAAAAATTCAATAAACTTTTCCTCTTTGTATTTTCAAGCAACTGAAACTAGCAGTTTTTAATTCCACATCGTATCAACTCAATTTTCATGACGTGGAGATTTCTGGCAGAAAATCCATGCAAAACGTTTGGATGACATACTAACCAACCAGTAGACTGGGAGATATCTTAACAAAACCCATGCCAACTATTAAAGGGTAGCAAATTTCAAGAAATATTTCTTTTTTTTCAGACAAATCTAGAAAATGGGCAGGAATTTAGTGTCGCTTTCCCCAGCCGCAGTGAGTAGAACCAGAGCTTTGAAACTGGACTTGGATAAGCTCTAATCAGAAACATTATCAGTGAATAAACAATTTGCCAATGTAATGCGAAATACACTAAACGAGACCGCATGTGCGGCCTTATTGGAAAACGTAGTCTGGTTTGATGCAGCCGCCTTATTGAAACTGAGCATTCTTCTTATGATTGACATCATGGTGGTGGTTGGTAACTGCCTAGTAATCGCTGCTGTTCTCTGCTCCTCCAAGCTTCAGTTAGCTGTAACCAACATCTTTATTGCGTCTCTAGCTGTAGCTGATTTGATGGTTGGCGTTGCTGTTTTGCCATTTTCTTCAGTCTGGGAAGTTTTCAAGGTGAGGCAATTTTATTCAAACTAATGCAAGTGAATACAATTTGTGTTAAACACAAATTGCGCCTCGATAATTAAACATATATCTTTTGCAAATTTCCGAAAATGTATCAACAATAAAATAGCTCTATTTTTTTATTAAAATGTAAATCCGCTCACTGATAGCGGACGAAATGTTCGCTATTTTGACACAAAAAATTAATTCATTAGGCCATTCCTGTTGCCTTTGTCTACATCGCATTGATTTTATACCTACGTTCAGTCTGTTAATTCTATTTGCGGATATTGCTGAACGTTTTTCAATAGTAACGCTTTTGAATTTTGTTGGTTGTTGGTGCGAAACTTCATTCTCTTTTAACATTGAACGAAAGCTTGATGGAAAGTACTTTAAGTTGGGGAACTTTGATATTTCCAAGTAATAATGCACTTGGTTTCATAAGAACGTGTTCGTGTTTCAAAGTTGCTAGCAGATTTCAGTTTACAACTTAGCCGTAACAAGTGCAATGAGAAATGAAAAACTGATGCAAATACCAGTATGGCAGTATAGAGCGAAAAATGCCCACTTTTGAATTTAAATGCTTGTTAGCTGACACAAAGCTCTGAGCGTGAAGCTTTTTGAAACTGGCTTCAGTTTTGTAGCATTTTGTCATAAACAAGTAATACTGGAAAATGATAAGCCGCTTTACCTGTGCGTGTTCCTGAAATTGTACATTGTTATTTTGGACCAAATCCAACGCATATCATGGTAAATTTTGTCAATGAGCCCAATTTCCATCTACAGCCAATTATGTGATAATGTCAAAGTTGAGTCAAAGTTCACAAGAACCTAAATATTTTCATTAACAAAAAGTGGCATGTGGTAGTAATTAGTAGGCACGATAATAAATCATTTCTAAATTGTTTATATTAGGTATAGACAGCGAAACCACATTAAACAAATATGTTGGCTGATGAAAATTTTAATTCTTAGCTCACTGTCCAATTAGCTAAAATATTATAACCAAAGCCCAGTAGGTTCAGCTAATTAATTTAATGGATAAATTCTCAAGAACTGCTACTCTAACAAATAACGCCCGCATATTTTTATGGCAGTTGCATGACAATAAATTCGTAAAACTAGATCAAGAAATCCGGAGAATTTCATGTAAATTGTTTAGCCGATACAATCACAGAGTACATTGCCTTTCCATGTAAATTGATTATCCACTTCACCATAAATAACAAAGCTGGCTAAAGAGGTTTTCAGCTTATTAAAGAGCCAACCATTACACTGTGCGAAATATACCTATAGGTAATGTTTGAGAAAATTTTACTTTCCGTGTCCAATTTAAATAAATTTGCTCAAACGAGGAGTCGCATGACAGCAAATAAGTAGGATTAGGCACTAAGTTGATAAAATGGCCTTTTATCTCTCTGAAACTGCTTTAAATATGGATTTTTCGAAAAGCAACGACAGTGGATTAAGATGAGCTTGATAGCGTGCTGATCGAGTACATCAATTTAAAGTTTTATTAAGGAAACACAACTTTCTCGATTACGAGCAGAAAAAGTGTGTCCACGAAGCGAAAGAAGATGAACAAATAATCGTATATGATAATGCACTATTTAATCGGCGAGTGCAAAGATATCGAAAAATTTGAAGACAGAACCAAATAAACGCTGACAATAGGGAAAACAGAGGAACGTCGACAATTGCAACTTAAAGACGTTGAAGCAGTGAGCGAGCATGTAATAAAAAATATTGTGTAGTCGATCAACGTTCATCATAAATCCCCCAAACAATACTTGAAACAAACAAAAAATGTCCTAGATATAGGACTAACAATTTGATGAAAAAGAAACGAAGATTAATAGAAAACATCTGCAGCTGAAAAAGGAGTCAAGACAACTGGATAAACCTACAGCAAACGTTGTTAGGACCGAAAGGGAATGAAAACGTGAGGGGGCAGCGGCATAAACTACGTAAAGACAAAGCAGGTCAACTGGAAAATCAAAGACAACACACGCAATTTAGTAGAGATATTGAAGATTTTCTAAGACGTTTACACCAAACCCTATTAAAACCAGAGTCAAGCAGAAATAGCTGAAAATATGATAGAGGAGTGGGCCTAAAGTCGTTGCCAGTAGTGAACTGAAAAGTCAGTTGATACACTTATATAAATCATTTCCTTAAATCATTCCCGTGAGGCTTACTATTGAATAATTCCTCACCGGTATCAACTAAGTGAACAAGGTTTAGTAGCGGGATATTGAACAAGAAACCGTCTGCAGCCCATAAAATAATAATTCCGAAGCAGGTATAGAAAACAACAAGCCCTTAGAACTAAAATGTTGATGATAATGAACTTAGAGCTAAAATGGACCATCGCCAAATCGTCATAATGCTGCTAAACGTTAGACCTGTGAACTAAGCAAAAAACCCGACTAAGTTACGAAACTTTTGGAATATACCTATTTTTCTCAAACAAAAAGCCTTCGACCTGCATCTCCAGTAGGTAAAACTAACGTCAAAACAGAAAACTAACAGTTAAAAAATGGAAAAGAAGAGCTACATAGAAGAACAAAAGTTACGGATGCAATAGAAAGAGTGACTTGAAAAGAAACTGGGCTATGGTAATTAATAGTCAATGGACAAAGATAATATTACAATGGCTTTCCAACGACGAAACACACATATTAAGGAATTCTAACGAAAATATCTTCAAGCAGAAATGAGCCATAATGCCGTCAAGCCAAGATGTCCAGGGCTGAAGAAAATGGCTTAAGAGTCACGAAAGGTCCCGCAATTGATGGGATAATCTGCATAATGATTATGATTATTCAGTTTCACTCGGGAACCGATTTCAAATTTTACCCAATCAGTGTTTTATTGCTCAAACAATAAAAATTACTATTTACAATTTACAGCAACAATTTAATTCATGAGTCAAGTCCATCCACTGGAAAACGTTTCACTCCGTGCATTCTTCAAATGCTTCAAAGACAAAGGTTCATTTAATCACATTTTTCATTTTAGTATAAATTGCACCGAATTTGCAGCCTGGTTTATTTCATTAAATTAAGTTCTCTATAAAAAAAACGCCTCGTTATTTAATTTAATGCTTTTACCATGAATGAGTTTCGCAAAGCTGCAATTTGGAGAAAAATTAAGCTAATTTCTAATTTAAATTTCGTGCATTATCATACTAACATTGATTTTGTCTTAGTAGGAAGCCACGAAAATCTGCAAGTTTTAAATCATTAATACTGTATTAATGCCCCACAACTAACCAACTACAGGCTTATTTCCGTACTTCAGTTAATTCCATTGTAAATATATAACAAGATTCTGTATGGACTTTTCCATTCGATTTGACCCCTTAACCCATCATTATTTTGGTAAACGTTCATGTGGTTACTGTGAAAGGATAATAGAATTATTAACTTCGAAATAGCTGTGCCGTTTTTGCGTTTTTAGGCACAGTCACTTTCTTGCCGGAAGTTTTCCTGAAATATTAAACATAGCTCAAATTGCTACATGCACTTAGTGAATGAACACCCGGCTAAGCTGCACAGTAGCGCTATGTTTCCACCGGAACAGTTGGTCTAATGCAGTTAAAAATTATGGCAGACATTAACTTTAGTAATAGTTTCAAACTTTCGTCCACATACTTTTGACGAAATGTTTGGCTTCCAACCGAATCCAAAACCCATTTGAATAAATTATTGTGAAATGAACCAAATATGAACTGAGTAACCGCAAAAGCAATTCAAATTATCAGGTCACCAAGAATAGGAAATTTTTATTGCTGCCCGCAAATCATTCAACTTAACCCACTTTACAATCATGTTTAATGGCACGATTTATCCAGTTATTTTCGTATAAATTTGCTGATAATTAGATTCACTCCTAAGTGCTATCGATCGGCCCTTCCTTGTCATTTAGAGGAACATAATTTCAGGTTCCCCAAAAGGATCTATTCAAATAAAATTCTTTAACGGTAAGCGCGTCTACTTATCGAGACTTACCTCGAATTGCGCTATCGGCCTAGTTTCTGTGCCAATTGATAATAGAAACCAGGACTTCGTTTATATTTTACCCAGCTTTAATTCAGTAGCCAGTTTCAAAGTTTACTCAAACTTCAAATTATCTGGAAACCCGGCTGAAACTTGTCTATCTTAATTTCGGACTATTCAGTTAGAAATGGGAGAACACGGACCGGGTCCAAAGCGATCTTTAGGGACAAGTTTTGTTTTTTCTATCAGTGTTTTTCCATAGTTGTGTTTTGAAAGGATTTAACTTGAAAGCTGTGAAACTCCAACGAAAGCAAAGAAAAATTAGCTTTTATCTAAATTAATATGTTTTTCACAATTTATCTGGATATGATACACACATATTTTTACTGCATGTTGCTTCCTCAAAATTGCCACATGAAGAATAGCTTATTTAGATAATTCCGCCACACATTAATCATTGGGGAAAAATATCAAGCCATCTGTTTTATGTAGTTTTCCACCCTGGCGAATATAACGAGACTAGGATTTTCCGCATTTCTTTATAAGCGAGGCGAATCTCACAGGTGCCAGACGGGAAAGATAAATAACGCTAATATGATAAACAGTTCTGCATTTTCATTCAATTTTCTGCTATCACTTTAAGCTAAAGTGATTCCAAGAAGCACTCGAAGCGTGTATAATTCTTAATGAATGTCATCCAGCTTGCAAGAGTAATTGCATTAATATTGCTGCCGTGTTGAACATTTTTGTTTGCTCAGTCTGTTGAATATCTTAATTGTGTTAAGATGCGGGAGCAGACATGATAATTTCTTTAAATTATTTTTTCCAAGCCAGTACTCGAGGAACTACTAAGTAGAAGTAAGTTGTAAGAAATATTCAAAGTTAGTATGGATTAGTGACTAAATATTTTGTTGAGTTGCCTAGGAAGATTAAAGTAGCTTTAGTATGCGGATTTGAGAAGTTAAAATTAATCATTTAGGTGCTAGGACTTTAACCTAGACTGGTTAA